CTTCCTGAAGAAGACCTGCAAAGTCGGGTCGATACGTAGGCTTTTAATAAAATATTTTTGCCACTATTTAGCCTATTTATGACCACGCTAATTGAAAAGAGGGATCGTTTATATAAAATGTGAATGTTTTACAATTTTGGTCTGAATAACTTTTTCTTAAATGTCCATGATACGTTTACTCCAAACATAAGTAATAAATATGCAGTAATAATTGAGGGTAACAAAGCTAAACAAAATAATAAAATTGAACATAGTTCATTTTACAAATAACAGCAATTCTCTCTAACCAGATCGTTATACAAAACATACAACATATAAACATATATATATACCAATCACAGAATAAAATAATGTACTTTTTTAGCCATTTTAATTAGAATAAAACTACAATAATAATATTTTGACTATTTTACTTGATTAATGTTTAATCTATAATGATATGAAGTTATAATTTGTATAACTGCAGCTGATTCACGATATAAACCTTCGGAACTTGATGATCATCATGTCACTTTCAGCTATTTTTCGAACATTCAATTTCCTACTGTTGTTCCTTAGGACTGTTGGTTTTTTTTTTCTGATGTTTTCAACTATGGAATCTTCAGAATAAGGTATGTACTTCATTTTTATGCAACATGTACTTGTTTCCAACATTATTAAGACTAATCCATGAATAGATACTTGCATTTGAAATTATGTTACATATATATTTTTTTCAAAACTCATTAATTCCTTAATGATTAAGTTACATTGCCAACCAATAATTTTTATGTCATCACGAAGAGTGTGGTTTTTATTTTAAACACGAAAAGAATCATTTGCCCATGGTTGCCACTGCGGTGTTTATTTTCTGTTTTATCATAGATTTATTTTGCCGCCTACTATCTTTAGCTAAAAAAAAGTTTAAAATTAAAAAAAATAAACACCTTAACTTTTTTTTTATCTTCTGTAGTTAAAGTTATGTTATGGACATAACTCCACGACAATATTTAACATCCAGGTGATGAAACAAACATGTGCCAACAAGGATTTTACTATTAACATTACAATTTAAAGTGAACTGGTCAGCTGCTCAAAGAAAGATTGAGAGGTTTAGAAAAATATGTGATAAATGTCTGGAAGAAAGTGCTCGGTTACACAAAGGCACAACCGGTAATTTAAGTTCTGGAACTGGTTGGCCAACTAAATCTTTTGAATACTCTAGTCACCGAAGAAAAAGAAGGTACATGGAACAACCGCAGAAATCGGCTGAAACTAAAAAACTTATTTTTTCGCCACTTACATGAAACTGGCAAATCAGACGGTGCAAAATTTGTTAAAGATTTCTTTGCATTTTTCCGAAAAGAGCAACAAGATATAGAAGACCTTATGTAGAAAATTTAAACTCAACGATACCTCATTAAATATTCCGGGACTCAATTCGGGTTGAATCATTCTTGCTTAGTCCCAGGGTTCATTATAAGCTGAGAGCAATCTTTGTTTCATCGAGACAGGTAAAAGTATGATCGTTTGGTAGATTCCATCCATACCAGGGGCAGATTCCAAAATTTCCTTCCAGTGCCGTTTCCAGTTCTGAAAATTTAAAGGGTTAATCCAAATGATGGACAACCTGTACATTGGAAACGCGAAGCAATGGTTGTCTGGGTACAAAAATGTTGGATGATTGTTCGAAAAAGCCCTTTAAGCCGGTTGTTACAACCAAATCTTATCTTATCTTTCTAATCGTTTTATAAAACGCAATTAAACCATGTTGATACGACATTTAATCAGAGTCAAATACATACTCCAAGTGGTAAATTTGTTAAGGAAGCCTCGGAGGAAAACCGTTGGGTGCTTGCCCAGGATACTCCTACAGGTCGCTCCAACCTTCCCTTTTAGTGTTATAATCGCACGAAATAAGCGCTCTTTGGTTATTTTTTCATTTCAAGGGATAAAAATTTAATTTAATTTAAAATTTAAAACATTTCTTTATTGGCAAAAGAAAATTAAAGAATTTTGACACAAAAAATAAAATTTTATGGATTTATGTCACTTGGAAGTTTTTTTTTGCTAAGATCACAAAAATAATATTAATATTAGATTTTGCATAAAATTATTATTCAATTTAAATAATACATTTTTACAAAATGATGTTTTTTTATTTAAAATAATACATGAACTTAGTTTGTTAAATAATTCTGGAAATTATTAATTTCATGGAACAAATGCTATAATTGTTTAATTTAAAACAATTACTTAATAAGATCCGAACAAGAAGGCCCACGAGTAAGCTGTAATTCGTGGGGGTTAGGTGATTTGGAGGAGCGGAAAAAAAAATACTCCCTATTCAATACTTACATTTTTTTTTTTTTTTTTAAATAAGTTTATAAATATTTTTAAGACATTAATTTTTTTGCCGTAAGTTCGGTTTTTTTGCCCAGTTAATGTACTTTAAAAAAAAATAACCGAAAAAAACATAATAATGGCGCTCATTCGGTTTCGATAATATTTAGAAAAAATAATAATTACAAATTAAAATAGTGAAAACAACAATTTGTTTTTTAATGCTCATACATTGCTTCAAATGTTGAGTGTTGCTCTGAGAATATATGATGAAAATATAATCAAATACCAGAGCCTTCCTATCCTGGTTTTTGATATATCTCATCATCATTATCAATGACACTATTTTGGAGAAAGTGAAACCTGGTTGATCTGGTATTAATAATGAATAAGTGGCAGTTAATTAATATTTATGACTTCAATAATTTTTTACTGTCAACATAAAATTTTATTACACGTTAATATAAATTTCATAGAACAGTGTGAAAAAACTAACTAAATCTATTATTATATGATAAAAAGATGACTAAACTCGAAAAGGAGCGAAAAAAGCTAAACAATAAATATTCTCAATACATTTTTTAAAAAAAGTTAAAACATTTCAAAATATATATTTCTATTCACTTAAATTGGTATATTAGATAAATATATATGCATACTTTTTACATATTATTTTAATGAATTTCCTTAATGCCAAGAGTATTATATTTACTAATTATCGCCTAGTATAGAAATTGCGGGTTACCTGGAGTAGCCCTTGCAACATTATTCCAGATAAACATTTTTTTTTATGCAATAGAGAAAGAATTGAAATAATTATTCATCCATTTAACTTTAGATAGGCCGAGTTTTTCTTAAAATATTTCGATCCCGACTAGATTTTGTTTTTAACAATGCAAATAATAATAATTCCCCGTTTTATAAATATCATGTGGAGCCATTTCCCAAGCTCAAGGTCATCTGTTCCGTTATCATCTAATCAATTATTCCATCGTTAACCTATAATTGAAAATCATATATTATATCTCTAAATTGCCCTGACATTATAATAAAATCATAATAATAATAAAAAATAATAACGTTTATCATAGAAACTGAAATTCTTCCTAACGATGAATCATAACATAAGGTAGTGGTGAGGGAAAATATATTAATTTCCTGAAGGTGTTTACCAATGCAGTATTTGAAAGAGTCGGATTCTTTAGACCACACTCAATGGCCTAAGTATGATTTTTAATGCCCGTGGTATCCAATTTTTGAGGCCTACAACGTCATTATTTAATTTTTTTTAAACATTGATGTTTTTTTTCTATTTCAAGCCCTGGTTAAAAAGTGTTTAATTCACGTATTTATATAATAGGTTTAAATGATCATCTTGGTCTGATGGTGATTTTCTTTTCGATAGATTTACTACCATTAAATTATTGACTGTCCTTTAAAATGCATTTTTTTTTAAACTTCTTTATTGAGATATTACAATCTGTCACATTCAAGAACAATAGTAATAGTGATATAGAGTAGCTCATTCATACAATAAATAAAAATAATAAACGGCAATATAATAATACTAAAGTAAAAAAATGCATTATTAAAAAAAAAAAATCTGACTTTATAAGTTTCAATATCCTTATTTAGATCTTTGAGGTGCTTTCTTTTTCTAATTTTGAAATAAACTTTAGCAATACATTTCATTTTGAGCGGGCCACCATCAACCTCCCAACCTCGATACCAGCCAGGGCCCTCGACAGAAGCCAAGGCTTAATTTTATCCTGCTCCCTCAAATATTAAGTTTAGCACTAAAACTCAGCCGAAGCATTTTATTAAGTATGTAAAAGAAATCGTATGTAAATATATTACATTATTCTTATACAATATATGTAATATTATCTATACCCTATTTAAATGTGAATTTATAAGTTAAAAAATAGGCAAGACCGGTCCTCCTCCTTGCAGAGCCCCGGGGTTCCGACTCTGGATGATCCCCCTCCTCTCGTTGAGCCAGGGTACGGCAACACTCCCCCCCACAATGGAGAGGTATAAATGCACAATATTAATAACAATTACATCTCTTAATAAACTTGGATTTTATTTGGATAAGTTAAGGGTATTTATAGATTTGTCAGTTATAGAAATTTCTTGGAAAAGTCATTATTTTTTACATGAAGTATTCATCTTCCAACTTTATCAAAAGAAGTAAATAGGTGATAAAAATGACATTAAAAATAAAAAGTTACCCATGAGATACTTAACGTGCTGTTATGATTTGGTAACCTCGATACAAAATGTCTGTTTTGTTTTTTTGTTTTGTTTTTTCCAAAGATAGAATTTTAAATATCTTTCAGATGGCTGAGAAATGTTATTACTCCATCCTGCAGATTTTTTAATGGAGGATAGTGTAAATAATTGAAAATGTAACTCATTTTGAAAACCTGTATAATAGAAATTGTTTGCAATGCTAAATTGGTTGTGCAAGTTAAACAAAGTTCTTTGTCACATTATTAAATCGTATTTCAATAATTGTTAAATTCCATTCAATATATTAATGATATCTAAATAAGTAAGGTAAAGAAATAAGTAATAGATAACTGCGCCATCGTCAAATAAATAACCTCAAGTTAAAAAAAATAAGTAACACATACTTAATAATATTAATATATAGTACAAAATAAAGTATTTACGAGCAACTATTAGTTGATACCTGCTTTTATCAGCAGCCAGGGGATACAGAAAGGAGTTGTAGTAAAACTGTTTGGTGATGAACTAAACCAACATTCTAATCTTTAAGTGTCAAACAATGTGACGTATTCGGTCCGTTTAACATCTTTCTAGTGTTGAGGAGAAGGGGGTCAACAAGACTAAAATGTTCAATAAACATAAATATATAAAAACAGAAACCCGACTCTAAATTAAATATGTAAGAATTAAAATTAATCAGTTGAAAAAGTTATCGATAATTATTAATATTAATATTATAATATTTTATATAATATTATAACATTTAGTCAGAATTTATTTGGAAATTTGTTTAATTACACACACATTTATGAAACCTTCCAAAATGCATAGACTATTATCATTTTTAAGTTGTTAATTGGCTAAAGTACACTTAACCCCAACTTGCTCAATTTTTATAAAAACATACACCGAAATTTCAACTACATCTATATCATGTTGTTTTTAATACTTTTTTGGAGGCATAAGTACCTATCGATTAGGTCCATCGCTCACTTTGTTTTTAAATTAAACTTTACCAGCATAGGCGGAATTATTATGGTGGGAGAGAGGGGTAAAGTTTAATGTAACACGGATAACAGTGTTCAATGCATGGAGGAGGAAAAGAAATACATAAATAAGGATTTGCTCTGTCATCAGTTTACTACCTGTAATGTAATATTATTATTATTTGTACAGTTTGTTGAACTTTTGTTGAGTTAAACAATTGACAGCGAAATGTTGGAAGAGCTCCATCAGAGAAAAATTCAACTTTTTCCAAATCTAATTCAACCTTTTCCATTTCATATTCAGTCTTTTTCATTTCAAATTCAACCTTTTTCATTTCAAATTCAACCTTTTTAGTTGTTTTTTTTTTTCAATTTTTCGATTTATGGGTCAGTGATCGTATGCATTGGATTTTACTATCGACTTTAAGATTACCCACTCTGATTTCAATTTATTTTATCTTTTCGGATTATTCAATTATTCAATATAAGAGTCTAGTATTATGTTATCGTACGCGTAGTTTTTAAAAATACTACTTCTTATAAGATTACGCAGTCGAATATCAATTAATTGCACCTTTTCGGATTTATTTGAAATAAGGGTCTAGTATTATGTTATAAGAGACGTAGTTTTTTTAAATAATCTCCATTTTAAGATCAGGCCTATGCGTTTCAATTTACTTAAATTCTTCGATATAAGGAGCTATTTATATGTTTTCAGTAGCATAGTCTTTGAAAATAGTCCCCATTTTAAGATTATACAACTGCTTTTCGATTTATATAAGTTTTTCGGATTTCTTTGATATAAGGATCTATTTATACGTTTTCAGATGCGTAGTTTTTTTTTAAATAATCTCTATTTTAAGATTACACTACCGCAAAAGATTGCAAGATTCACAGCTAATTGTCGAAATCACTTTTTGGATAAAACTAACAATTCAGATCTACAGTATAGGTAGTATATTTTTTATATTATTCTTACCCTAATTAAATTTGCATGAGTATAAAAAAATTCAAAAGTACTTATCAATGATGTAGCGAGTAAAATATTGAGAGGCATCTTAGTCGGAAAAAGTATAATTTAAAAAAATACGATAGATTTATTTATATTTCAGCCAAAACAAATAAAAGATTTATTTATAAAATAATTAAAAGATTATTTCTAATTATTATAAAAGATTTTTAAATTTTATTTAATAATATGATACGAATTTCGAACAATTAACTGAAAAATCTGTAAATGGTTGGTAAAATTTATTAAAAGTTGCTTTTTCACCTTTGTACTTATATGTTTTGTGGTTTAATTAACCTTAGAAATCCTAAGACAAAAATAAAAGGACCTCGTGGGCGTATTAAAATATTATCGGAAAATAATATAACCCAAACAAAAATTATACCAACATTCCTCATTACAAAAAGGTTTGATGAACATGATTTCCAGAAAGTGTCACTTTTTTTTATAAATACGTTCTACAGGATTAATAGGAGATCTGAGAAATTAAGAAATAGCTCATTACTAATGTAAACGAAAAATGCAAACCAGTTAGAAAATCTACTGCAATGTGACAAGTTTGGTGGTCAATTTCCCATCCAGGTGTCTCCTCACAACACTCTAAGTTCTAACAAAGGAATAATTAGGTGTTATGACCTTCAATTTCTTGAAATTGAGAAAATCAAAAACGAATTATCACACCAAACTAACGATATGGTTCGAATAAAAATAAGAAAAAAACGGAAATGAAATTTTTACAAATTCATATATAATCACGTTCCGTCTCCGAAATAACAAAAACAGGATTTCATATGGTTAAAGTACAACAATACATTCCTCATCCTATGAGATGTTTTAACTGCATTGAATCAACTCATTGAACGGATCAATTGACAAATCAATGTAAATAAACAGCGGTATGCATACAATGTGGAGAGGCAAAACACTGCGATAATATTAAATGCACTTTACCCCCGCGATGCAAGAACTGCGGAAACAGACACAAGGCGCTGGACAGGTCCTCTCCTGTTTTTATAATCCAAAAAGAAATAAAAACTATACAGACGGTGAACAAAATTTCTTTAAATGAAGCCAAGAGATTATACAGAAAACAGTACTCAACCCATTTCAACAGATAAATAGTGTTGATAAAAAGATATTGGTATTTAAATAAATTCAATCTTTAACTTTGGAGAAAATAACAGTAACAAAAACTATATAGTTAAAAATATTAATAATAATCAACGTACACATCTATATCACACAATAACATACATATCTAGTATATAAGTTCGGCCAGAGACAGCTATCAGTTAACATACCTCTGTATTATTAAGTGTTTTATTTCGTTCATATTGCTTTTATTTTTACCGTTTTTTTTCTTTTTAATAATCTTTATCAATAGAATTTATAGACATTTGGTATTTCCTCTCAACTCATTGAAAAGTGAAGATATTGAAGTTTTATACATTAATCACGAGCTACGGGACTGTAGTAAACAATTGAGGTCCAGAGGATTAAGGCCTGCTGTTGGTTTTAACCATCATAACAACCCGGCTTGTTATTGTAAGTACTATCTATTTACTATATAGTAATATGGCACATTGCCCGCTATGCAGTAGCACCATCTGACGGCCAGCAGGTTGTCGTGATCAACTCGCCAACGGACTTGGACATATTCGCATGACTAGCACTCACATGTTCAATTGCTCTGCTCACTTTATTTTTCATTTCTGTTTTTGCACATTTCGATTTTTATTTTATTTTTTTTAAAGATAATAATTTAGTTGTTTTTGATCTAATTTATTTTGATAATTATTTTATTTTCGTTTATAAGAACAGACTATGTTTCATACTTTTAGACATTTTAATATACTTAAATACATTTTATTCCGATGTAGAGGTACATCTTTCGTTTACTGAATTGTATATCTCCAACTTTTCAACATTAATAATACCTGGAAAATTACTATTCTTTATTTTCTGTTTTTGTTTAGCATCATTTATTATTACACTCATGATTCTTCGCAATAGAGGTGTCATCAACAATTATGTACTCTGGGCTCATACTAGCTCCAACCACTATAAAAATATTCCTATCCCAAGCACTTCCAATCTGTTAACCAAGCCACCCCTCCTTCTCCCATGACTAATATCCTTTTAACCTGCCACGTCAACGCTCAGTCACTCCTAGCCCATTTTGATGAATTTTATGATTTTTTCCTCCACAACTTCTACCATTTAATTGCAGTTTCTGAAACCTGGTTAAAGCCCTCTATTCCGTCTTCCCAAATTACTTTACCCAATTATACCCTCCTTCGTCATGACAGAGAGGATCGTACAGGTGGTGGAGTGGGCCTCTTTGTCCATGACAGCCTTAAATTCAAAATCCTACAGTGCTCTTCCCATACCGATTCTCCGCACCTGGAATATCTTTTTACTGAAATCCTCACCCCATCATCTCCCCTTCTCTTTGCAGTCATTTATCGTCCTCCAAGAATTCCGTTTGATGAATCATTTGAGACTTCCCTTTACAACTTGATCTCTTCCTACTCTAATATTATCCTCACCGGAGACTTCAATACCAATTTAATGATACCATCTTCTGACCATTCCTACCTGACAGGCCTCCTCGAATCACTCAGCCTTTATATAGTACCCTACAACCCTACCCATCATACCCAGTTCTCAGAGTCCTGGCTTGATTTGTTTGTCTTGGATTCCCTGGATAAACTCTTGTCGGCATCTCAGCACCCGGTTCCATTTCTGTCTTCCCACGATCTTATCCAGATTTCCTACAACATTCCGGTCCCATTTTTTTCTCCTCAAACCATATCCTTCCGAAACCTCAACTCCCTCACCTATGAAGCCCTGTCGCAGGATCTCGATGCTTCCCAGTGGGACCCCATTTATTCCTGTAAATCCATTGACGCCATGGTAGAAATCCTTACCAACCATCTTCATACCATCCTCGACTGCCATGCTCCTCTCCTAACTAAAACCATCCGACATTCCCCTGCTCCTTGGCTGACACCCGCTTTAAGAGAGTGCATGAGACGAAGGTTTAAACGTACCCAACTCTCGGAAGACTATATCGCCTTCAAGCAACTACGAAACAGCACTCAGTCTGCTATACGCCGAGCCAAATCCCGTTACTTCCATCATTCCTTATCCAACACCCCAAACTCCAAGGCCAAGTGGGCTATCCTAAAAAAACTGACCAATTGCAACACACCTCAAACCCAGCTCATCTCCTTTTCTGCTGATGACCTTAACGCTCACTTTGTCTCCTGTCCCTTCTCATCCTCATCTCCCGCGGCTATGCCGACTCCTGTGTGTTTCCCTATAAATTTTAATCCTGATCAATTCTTTTTTTCTCATATTACACCTGATGACCTCCTCAACTCCATTCAAAAGTCGCAAACCAATGATTATGGACCTGATAACATCCCAGTCAGACTGATCAAAGCCTCACTACCATCCATCCTTCCAATCCTCTACCATATCTACAATTACTCACTACAAAACGCTACCTTT